AACTAAAAAGAAATAGAACGAAGAAAAAAACGGAGGAGCACATTTATATGAAGTTTGCTTACACTAGCCTACGAGTTTAGTAATCTCACCGTCCATTTTTACTTGTCCATTATACTCTTTTTGTTCCTAATTATTTGTCCACTTTTGAATTGACACACCTATTAAGAAAGCAATTATTGATATACTGAGTTTACCATTTTACCCCAATTAATTATGGAGTGGATGAATTAAAAATTTAAGATTTTCAAGAAGTTCTACATTTTTCAAAGTAATTAATTGAGGATAAAATATGTAAAAATATTTTGATCTTTCTTGATTTGTCAAAATGGACAAGTAATTAAGGACAACTAAAAAAGAAAAAGTGGACAAGTAATTAGGGATAGAAGGAGTACTATTTTAGAATGTCCAACAATTCTTGTCTAATTTATAAAACCAATAAATATTTTATCATTTTATGTCTATTTTACACCTGCCATCAAATATTATTCAATTTTCAATGTTTAAATGATTTATATTTAATAAGTATAATTTGGTAAAATTATCTCTATCATTTAGTGTTTTTTAATTCCTGTGCCAAGTTAACTCTGTTGTCGGAGAGAAGATTATTTTTAGAGACTTGACTATAAGTTAAATGAGAGCATTCAAATGGGCTCATCTCATGAAATTTTAAAGGAAAAATTACACAAATCCCACCTTTTAGTTTACTTATTACCATTATCCCCTATAAGTTTTACAAATCTCCAAAATTCCTCATTTTCGCGCATCAGATTAGTGTATCAGTGCTTATATTATTGTATCACGCATCAAATTAATGTATCAACACTTATATTATTGTATCTCGCGCATCAGATTAATTTATCAACGTTTATATTATTGTATCTCGCGCATGTATCAACGCTTCTATTATCGTATCTCGCGCATCAGATTAATGTATCAACGCTTATATTATTGTATCGTTTGAGAGATTTCTGTAATTATAAATTTTTAAGGTATAGATTATAATTTTACCTTAAAAATATGTGATTTATGTAATTTACCCAATTTTAAATAAAAAAAGCCCAACAGAAGTTAAGGGCTCAAATGAACACAGCCCAATTAATTTTTAAAACTACTTTTATAACCAGAATATTAACAGGAAAGCCCTAGAACCGAAGCAGACATCTTCTATCAGCAGCTGCAGGGGAACATCAGATCACCGGCAGCCATGGTTAGTTAGTGTGTTAAACCTTCTAATTCTCCGATTGATTTATGTGTTAATTCGTTTGTTTTTATGTAGGTGAAGTATTCGAATGAACCAGAGAACCCAACCAAATGTGAGTACTCAATACGATACACACATTTTATTTTTGTAGCATTATGCGAGAGTGTTTATATATGTTGGTTTTTATTTGATTTTTTAATGTTCTTGTATCAGCTTGTAAAGCTAGGGGTTCGGATCTCAGAGCTCATTTCAAGGTGTGTGATATATATTTTTATGTTAAATTTTGATCTTTTGTGATTTTCTGCTTTGCAAGCTATTCGTGTCTGCTAGTTTTGTTGTTTCGTTGTGAGGTTCAATATTTTCATGGATTTTTTGCATTTGCATATTGTTCGTAGTTGTTACTATGCTATAATCGAGATAAATCGAATTTCATTTGTTTGTATCAGCTGTATAGCTGTTTCCCTTATTCTGGATTCAGCAAGCATGTTTTTTGTGTTGCCTTGTGGTCATAAAAAATCACTTGCCTCGTTTAAGTAAAGCCTTATTTAAGTAATGTATTCATCGACTAAGTAGTAGCTAAACAATTTTTGACAGTTCCGTTACGTTTTAAAATAATGTGGTTTAAGCTGAGCTGTTTCAGCTAAAATACTTGTGATAATCATGGTGGCTCTGTGGTTGTTGGCAAATAACGGTGTGCTCAATTCTGTTGCAATTAGTGTATGACAGAAGAGGGTGGTACTATGCAATTTGAATGTTGATGACAATAACTGTATTTGAATCATGTATCTGAGTTTGCTCACCAAGTTAAAGTGTAAATGCACTTTTTTGTCTTCTGTTCTTGGTAGTTCACTGGACTGCTGATAATGCTTGCACTTTAGACATCTAAGCTCTGATATTTTCTCTTGCCTATCTGCCATGTATGAGGCTCTTAATTAAAGAAGTTGCAGTTCCACAGACCACTTTGCTTTAATAATTTCATCAGGGCACTGCATTAATTTTTAGACTATGATTCTGAGATCACTGTGTCAGTTTTCCTTTGTGCTCTTCGCTGTTCAGTGGCTCTTTAATCACTATCATTTTATAATATTTTGCAAAAACAAAATATAATACAAGGAGTTCGCTATCTCAATCAATCACTGATAGCACAAAACTCTGCCTTGACTACTTTTATTCAGAATATTGATTCTTCTGGTGACAATTGGTTTTCTAGGATCAATGTTCTTTCTTCTGTACACTTCTGCATCCGTTGTAATGATATATAACAGTTCTGTATCAGTTGTGTGATATTTAACAGTTCTGTAATTTCTGATGTTCATTCTAATATTTTTATGCCTTCCTTACTCAAATGTGTACTTATTATCTATCTCTAGAATACTAGAGAAACAGCACATGCCCTTAGGAGTTGGAATGACACATATCAGTTCTGTATCAGTAGGAGTGATATTTAACAGTTCTGTAATTTCTGATGGTTATTCTAATCTTTGCATGTCTTCCTTACTCTAATGTGTACTTATTATCTATCTCTAGAATACTAGAGAAACAGCGCATGCCCTTAGGAAGATGCCTTTGAACAAGGCAAAGAGCTACTTGGAGGATGTTCTTGCCCACAAACAAGCCATCCCCTTCACCCGCTTTTGTCGTGGGGTTGGTCGCACTGCTCAGGCAAAGAATCGCCACTCTAATGGACAAGGACGTTGGCCTGTCAAATCTGCGAAGTTTATTCTGGATTTGCTAAAAAATGCTGAGAGTAATGCTGAAGTATGTTCAAATTTGTAGGATTATATTATTTCCCTTGGTCCTTTGCTTTCGCTTTTCTCTAAAGATGAGTTTGTTGTTGCTTTCACCTCATTTTAGGTTAAAGGCTTGGATGTGGATTCACTTTACATTACTCACATCCAAGTAAACCAAGCACCGAAACAGAGGCGCCGTACATACCGTGCTCATGGAAGAATCAATCGTGAGTGCTCCTCTTATTTCCTCGATGGTTCTTATTGTAGTTGAGGATATGGATTACAATTTTAACTTCTTGACCTTTCTGCAGCTTATATGTCACATCCGTGCCATATCGAGCTGGTATTGTCTGAAAAGGAAGAATCTGTTAAGAAAGAGGTATAGTTTCTATCTGTTTCCTTGTTATTCCTCATAGTTGATTCTTATAACTTCAATACATGGCATCAAGTCTATGTCAGTAGCCTTTGCTTTTTCATCAGTCATCTTTAGATCTTTTTGTTTCTGCCATTATGTTGTCTCAAGTATCATATCTTTTGCAAGTATCATAAACATTTTTTATTCATGCAGCCTGAGACTCAATTGGCTCCCAGGAAGACGAAGGCATCTTCTTGAGGGGAAGAATGAATCCCTAAATTTTGGAAGTATAATTTCAATACTTATAGCCTTGGTATCAGAAGAATTTAGTGCTATTTGAAACATTTCTTCATAGGAATTTGTGTTATTGTGTAATTTTACTATTTCGGAGCTTAAATTGGGTTTTGTGCTTTTTGAAGCATGTTTAGGAGGAAATTTTGGATTTCTATGTTGCTTATTTTTTTTTCCCGAAGGTTGAATTAGGATGTTTATGGTAATTCTGATTCTGAAAGCTGGGAATGCATGGAACTTTTAACTTAACTGGTGATGATGAAGCTGACTTGATTGCTCATTTAGAGGATCAAATAATAGTGTGTTTTAGAAAGTTCTTTACACAATTGATTAAACCATCAGTAATACACAAGATAAGACTAAAGGATATGAGAAGCCTTTTGTAAATGGTTGGTAGTTCATTTATATTTTTATGTGTGTTTCTTTCATTAATGTAGGTGTATCTTTTTGTTTAGGTTGCCTAGATGGACTCGTTTTCTACGGGTAAGGGATAATTAATCCTGGTATTAATTTAGGATGAGTTTTATCATGTTTGGTTGGGATAAAATTGTGGGATAGCTTATCCTGGATTTATAGTGTTATTTTTATCTCACATTGAGGGTGGAATAATAATCCTGGGATGACTTGCTTCCTAAACTAACGAACACTTAAATATACTCCTTTCGGTGTTTGAGTCACGTATTGGTCTATATGTCCTGTCATTAATTATAAACTTATTTCCATATAGTACTTGCTTATTTTCTTGAGTTGCTGTAATTTTCTGTCATGTTGAGTAGAATTAAAACAGGAAATTACAACCAATGACCTTGAAAATGAATGGTCTTGACTCAAGACCCTCACTGGTCCTGTCGGCAAACCTTCAAGGTCTAGATGTTTTTAAATATGAAGTTCTGTTCATGAGATAAGAAAGCTCACTTGTGGGAGTTTAAAGAAGACGTAATCTCATGATTAATGTGAGAATTAATATATTTGAGAGCCATCAAATTACTGTATTTTACTGCACCACGTGGTGACTTTGAAGTGATCATCATAGTATTGTTTAGGTACGGTACAACAAGAAATGGAGTGTTAAGTATGTTCTCTAAACTTAAATTAAGACAAAAGCTTCAATTCTAACTTCAGTACTAGTGGAGTTTAATGTCACAAAATTAAATTTGAGAAATTTGTATATTAGATAACGAATGGAGAATTAACTACGATAATTTGACTGTTTTAGTAACATATTATGCAGGATAGTAGCTTGTCAACAGAAGCAGCACATGGGAGCAGGGAGAAACGTTTTCTTCAATTTCAAAAGAATTAGGCACAATATATAACTAAATTCAGGTTCAAGGTCTGCGAAGTATTTCTAGCACGTACAACTATAGCAGAGACCAAAACATAACTCGACAAAACAGATAGTATCATAGTATGTCATGCTTCCCGAAATGAAACTTTCATGCTCGAGCAAGAACTAACATTAAAAAGAGGTTGCACATCTGATTTAAGTTAATGTTCCTAATGACATACTGCTGCATCGTCATGCATATATCCTCCTGCAGTCTTAAAACAAGCTATAATATACAAAATCCTATTTGCTTGAGCTTTTGACAACACAAAACGCTAAAGAGCCATGTGATTTCTGTTCTAAATTCTGGGTGAAATGGATGCGAAGATTTCTTAGACAGACTGATGTACTAGAGAGCCACTTCCATTTCCTTTCCTCGCCATCCTCAAGCCATCTGATGCAGATGAAATGCCAAATGGAGGCTGATAAAAAGCAGGCGCAGGAGAAGACGCTGGGTTGTCAATATGTTCGGGATGATCAAACTTACAGGCAGGTCCATACTTGCAAATCCCGTAACGGCTATAGAATGAACAGATAGCTTGGCCCTAGAATTACAAAACAAAATGAAATAAACTTTGTATGGAAATCACAAGTTCACAATTATTTGGTCCATAATTGAGATTTATTGTTAGAAAGTCTGAAATAAATAAAAGGGTCCTATAATCTTGGCCAAGTACTACTGTATAAGAACAAACAAACATCTTGAAAGGAATTAAGTATTCCTTGAAGAAGTTGCTTCCGCAGAGTCAAATAGATGATCATTCAGACATTATCTTAGAGAAGTAAACGTTAACTAACAAGTGTCCTCAAACATTAGCTAGAAATTAAGGGCATCAGGAGGAGCAGGTGTCCTCGAACACCAGCTAAATATCCACCAACATATGCCTCAAAAAGAGATTTTCTAAGAAATATCAAAAAGCTTTTAGATCTGGAGAGACGAAAAACTTACTGGTCTTAGTGGCAGGCCCTTGTCACTGAGAACACTCGGGGGGTTTGTCAGGGATTTTTGAGTCTTTGGATGATGAAATTTGCAGTCAGACTTATATTTACAATCTCCTGTTTTAATGAAGTAACTGCAATCAGGTTGACCTGGACGTTCAGGGTATTCTTCAACAAGCCACGGTGGTTGAGGTCGGGAATAAATGTTCGTCTTAGTTGCTGGATCCTTCATAGTAAATGCTGGAGGTGTAGGTAGGCTCTTCTCTGAGGTTTGATAGACCGGGGCCTCAATCAGCAGAAACAAACAAGGTACAAGTCAGAGGAAACTCATAAAACAATAGGCAAACACTCTGTCAAATAAGTTTTATGAATTACAAACAAAGACAAATAGTAAAATGATTATAAACTTCACTTAATTCACATGGCGTATGACATCATAGAAAAATCTTTTCTTTGCAGTGACTAGTGTATTTTATAACATGTGTCCAAAACACATGTAGTTAATTGAACCAAGATAGAATGACATGGCACATGGAGCTTGACTAACTGCTAGTCTGTGACTTTGTTGAGCTACAACTATACTAGTTGAATCTCTCTTCGTTAAATGTACATATCAAAACTAATAATGCTTCCATTGCATGGAATAGAAGTACCAGACTCAATATACTCTGAATCAAAGAAACAGAGATTTGCTGAAGCATTAAACACAATGACCCATCTTTCAGGACAAGCCATAAACAACAATCATTTCAGAAACAAGGAAGTTAAATTAATACATAAATTACCTGAAACCTGTTCCATTCTGGACTTAGAGGAAGAATGCCTTGGTTTGCTGGATATACCACTGGTATGAAAGGAGCTGTCTCATTCGATGCTCGTGGTGAAGACCAAGAAGACACTGGTGAATAGGAGGCACTTTGTACTGGAGCAGATCCACCATTGTTGTATCCAAGGGAAGGATTGTTTCCAGTCATTGTAGTAGGATCAGGATGATGAAACCTGCAATTGGATCCATACTTGCAAGACCCAGTGCGCATGTAGAAGGGGCAATCCTTCTCTCCCTGAAATGAAGATAAATCCCTTAAGGACATAATTCTCAAATTCAAAAAGGTTCTGAATGACAGCAAGGAGCATTACCTGTCGAATTGGCAGGCCAAGAAAGTTAAAATCCAGAACAGGTGAGATTGCACCCTTTCTCTTACTATGACTATATTTACAGGCATTTCCATACTTGCACCCTCCTTCTGTTAGGTAATACTGCAAGATTAACGAAAAAGAAAAAATTTTAGCCAAAAAGGAAATATGCCACCTTCAATACGGTATAGAAGCTTTAAGAACTTATAAGTTATAACAGAGCCAAGAAGGAAAATATGTGAAAGGCATAAAAACTATTTTTTCCCACACATCCATAGTAGAGACACGCTTGGAAACAACTAAACAACTACTCTCACAATTGTGTCAGCAACTTAAGAGGACTCAATTGTATAAGTCAGAATCTTAGCATTGACAATTAAGAGGCAAATTCCAGTTACAGCACAACACAAACGAGAGAAGCATCTTGATGCATACATATAGGCAAGGTCATCACATAGAGGTCCTAAATATCACCATAGAGAGAATTAACAACACTAAATGAAATAACATGTAAAAACTGTAGTAATCAGTCGATGTCTGATCAGTTTAGTTCTACAAATCTATCCACGAAAACACAGGACAAAGAAAGATGGATTGCTTACTGATAAAAAAGAAAAAAGATGTATCATTGAGCAGTGTCAGTTCAACTTTATGCATGAACTCATTCCACAACTAAAATACTAAATTATGCATGTTGCACTTAAAATAGCTCCTCGAATACAACTTTTTTCTCATTCACCTAGAAATCTATGACTATTTTATTTTTGAAAACCATGGTGTCCAGGTCATCTTGCACGTACTTCGACTAATTCCACGGAATAGTTGCTGCCTCCTACAAGGATAGGTACCTCATGATTCTATCCACTAAGGCTCGAAAAGATGGGAAGAACTCAGCTAGTGTTTTTTGTTTCCACTGGGCCTTAAACCTAAGACCTTGTGGTTCTCTTGACCAATAGGCCACACCCTTGGGTGCAAACCTATGACCTTCTTATCAGTCCATTACATTCTACCATTATGCAACTGAAAGTCACTATTCTAACAAATTTATATGAGAAAAGCAGTCAAAACTAAAGGAAATTCCATGATCCCTTCTGCTATAGATTCAGTAAGTGAAGGAAATGACTAGAACTACCTACTTAAAAAAAGGAAGAGCTTCCATGCACCACGGGTGGGTTCTCCCTCAGAAATTACCAGTACTTCATTATAAAACACTATGGTCAAAAGTCAAAACTTTTAGTTTCTCAAACTAGATTAATTATGACAATTTGCTATTTTCTCCTCATCATCTTCTGAGGAGCAGGGGCTAAGAAACAAGTTTTGAAATACATGAGTTTTGTTCTAATCTAGTAAAAAGGTAATTTCATTGAAATGAAGGGAAGAAAAAATCCCGTATGCAAGTAGTTTACCAAAAAGTAGAGAAACCTACAAAGATTTTAAACCATGCTTATTGGTAATGCAACCTTACTGTATTAAGCCAAACTAGTTCAATAACCCAATAATGTCAGATTGCAATGGTCATGCAGCCAAATCACAATAACAGCTTGATCAATTTGACTATCCATATAAACCAGAAATGTAGAACAGATTTTTACCATAAATCGTCTCTCATGTGTTTCTGGCATAAATTAAATGGTAGATATTAGGTGCATGTTAATAAACAAGTTTATCAGTTGATATCAAAGAGGCTGTATTTCATAAAGCACTAACATTTGTTTTTTACATTATGATACTCAATATTCAACATCAAACCAAATTACTCAAAAGATGAAGCATAGAAGAAACAAAGATTTTCCTCGTCTCATGCTTTTAACTATGATAAATTTCATAACCTTGCATTCAATCAGCCCTGCTCTTTCCTCACTTTCATCCCTTTGCTTGCCCTTCTCCATTGCCCACTGTTGAAGAGGTCACAAACGAACTCAATATAGTAAGCATCACAGAAGTATTTAGGATCTAAGTTCTAACCTAAGCATATGAACAGTAGTAATGGAAGAAAGACCACCACAAAGATCAACATAACCTTCAGATACTCATCCTATTAATCCACCTCACATATAGATGTCAAGTAAAACTCACTACTTTACAGAGAACAATAATGCCAATGATGGATGATATTATGGATTCTTTAACAACACATATCAATGCATGATTTATCATGCCCCTTAAGTGCCAACAACTAACTATGAAGCAGCCCTCAGTTAGCTTGCACCTCAAGCCCATCATTACTTCAGAAGTGTAGCAACAACTACTACACTCAATCTCAAACTAGTCATGTGAATCCTTTAACACCATTTGGGCCCATTTCATCCCTATTACTTTAAAAGTCCACTATGCACAAGAAAAAAACTTAATAATCCCGTAATTAAACAAACAAAACAGTAGAACATCACTATCCTCTACTATTAATAAGATTCATCCACAACATTCCTTTTATTTAACAACACCATTCATTCAATCCACAAAACATAGAATAAGTACAGCTAAAGCCACTTCAAACCCATGACATTATACCTGGTTTTGTCTTCGGGAAGGGTGATTAAACTTGCAATTCAATCCATATTGACATGTCCCTGTTTTCATATAATAAGCACAATCCACAGCATCAGGCCTTAACGGGTAATTCAACCTCCTCCCATTCGCATTAAATCCCCATTCTTTTGAACCCGCCTTACTACCGTTCTCATTTGTCACATCAATTCCATTTCCGCTCCAACTAAGGTCACCATCTTCATAGTGATCAAATCCCCATTCCTTTGAACCAGCTTCGCCACCTTTCTCATTTTCCACATCAACCACAATTCCACTTTCGCTCCAACTATAGTCACCATCTTCATAGTGATCAAATCCCCATTCCCTTGAAACCACTTCACCACCATTCTCATTTTTCACATCAATCACATTTTCATTTTCGCTCCAACCAGCACCATCTTCATAATGATTACCACCGTACTCATTTCCCACTTCGTCTCTTCCATTTCCTTCATGAATATCTCCTTTAGCTCTCTCTTCACTGAATGCCTGATTTACCACCAGATTCTTAAGCTCTTCAACTATCATTTGCACATCTTTTTCATCTTCACTCTCAGATTTTGCCTTAATAGATTCATAAACACCTCCTTTTGCTCTCTCTTCACTGAACGCCTGGTTCAACACCAGATTCTGAAGCTCCTCAAAAATGATTCGCAGCAACATCTCATCATCATCATCAACGTCGTTTTCCTCAGCTTTTGGGAGATCCCGACTAGGGTTTTGAAGATTGGGTTCCGATGAAAATGACGCCGCTTCGGGAGGTTGAGGATCAAACCCTAAATACTGTTTATCAAGTGTAGGTTGGTTTAGGTTATGCATGTATAGTGATTGAATGGCTTCCATTGCTTTGTTTTGCCTCCGAATTTCAAAATGTAAAACCCTGATTCTCCATTTTCAGTCGAGTGAAGCAGTGTGGGCGAAATGAACAATGGCCAAAACAAGTCCAAATCAACGACGATTGTGACCCCAGTACTTTTTTTATATCGCCTTTTTTCCCCTTTTCCTTTTCTTAAAGACAAATGTCTCTATTTTAGAGTTGTCTATTTTAATTTTTGACCTTTAAATCAGTGTTTTTTTTATAAAAAAAAATGGTCCTTTTAAAACACTTTTAAGTACTAATAAAATATTGGTGAAAGTATCATTCACAAGGCAAAAGTTAATCACAAAGCAAAAAATATATATTTTCGTATGACAATATAGCACAAGTTATAATTTACAAGGTCAAATAAACTATGCCGTTTAATTCTATATAATTTATGTAATTAGAGGTAAAAATTTAGTTTCAAAATTCATAAAGTTATATAAGGCAAGATAAATATTTAAAACTTTTTAGGCTACGACTAAATTTTTTTTGACCCACCCCGAAATAGGGGAAATCCATGCGAGAACTAATAATGTAACGCATGATGGGTTTTCTTGAGTTGGATTTGGTCATAATTTATTGTAAGCTTGAAAATAATGTTAGGAGCAAATCTGGTTCAGTAAGAGTAAGAACATTTTTTTGAACCATTTTTAATATAATTAGAGCATTTTTATTTTGGTAGGTTAAAGGAAAAATATATTGAATCATTTCTAATAAGTCAAGATTTTTTTTTTAATGTATATAAATTGCTAGGTATGTGGAATATAATCATCAAAGATGATGTGAGTTAGTGAAATTTTGAATTAGTATTAATTTACCGTAGCGAATATCAAAAACCAAATGAGATTTGAGAGTTAGTGAAATTTTTCAATACAAATTAGTATTATTGAATACCAAATGAAAAGCCAAAAAATAAAGTGGAAGCAATAAGTTGGTTGATGGTACACTTCACGCAAAGTAGCTTTTTATTTCACGCGGTTGTACTTTCCCACGTACATTCCCCACTATTTCCCTATTTTTCCGTATCCTTTTTGTTTTACTAGTTTTTCGGCATCAAATTATGAAGTACACGTTTCAATAAAATAATATGTACGATAAAGAATAAGTAAAGAATCAAAATTCTTTCCTGAAATATTAATATGCAAATCATTATAAGATAACTTATTTGTTGATATCGAAATAAGTAAATTTAATTTGAACCAAAAAAGGTAAACAATCAAATAATTGACAAAGCGAGTGTACAAGTAGTCGCTCGAAGAATCGTTATGTAAAAAAGGTCAAATATTATTATTATAAACTATCTAACATGTCTATTTTCAACGTTGAAATTGGAAGCTACAACACCAATATCAACACCACACTTAGTATAATCCCACAACTGGGAGAGGACGATAGAGTAGACCTTACCCCTATATTGTAAGGGTAGGAAGGTTGTCCGATAGACCCTGGCTAAAGAAGAGATGACAAGTAAGCAATAATAATTTCAGGAGTCGCCTTTGTTAGGGAGCGCTTTACCCCAATATGGGACTTCCCGGCACGAATCTGGATTTAGTAGGACTCCAATGTGGGTACTGGACATCGGGTGGGAAACCAAAAAAAAAAAAAAAAACAAGCAATAACAACAAGAAGATAAACCCTGAAATTGGAAACTACCAAACCTTTAGAAATCAAATATTTTAAAGTTGATTTTCCTCAAAAAGTAGGCATTGCTTAAACTTGGCATTACTATCCTGCCTGTATGAACTTTGCATACAAAAAAGATTCAGCCATTCCAAAAATGACATTCCTTGTTTTAAGAGACAATGGTTACAACAACTTACAAGATTGAAACATTTGAACTGCTTCAAATCAATGAAGGGCTCCAATAAGGAACCCTGACCAAGGAGGAATTATCTGCAAGAGGGAACTTAATCCCAGATCCTGATAATCAGAGTCATATAACATATTAGATATCTTTGGGGAATTTAGAAGTACAAACAATTTACATACTCTTACATACACAGAATCTCCTCCTCCCAGGCAGGGTAAATCCAGGTTGACCACAACCCTGCATGATAACTTTAAACCAGAAAGTTAGACATGAACAGAAGTGAAATGTAATTCAAATTAATTGGACTAAAATTTCAACTTCTCTAGTAAATTAAATTTGAACAAAGGCCACTGGTGGTGCACTAGTCACATCTATAGCACGAGTTATAGTCATGTGGAGATGAAGAAAGCAGGAAACATCAGTATTTTAAAAAAAAACTCTACTTAGCTAACACTCCAGAAGGAGCTAAGTTTAACAAACTAAAATCCAAAAAAGCTGATATTTCCAAATCTTAAGATCTACCCTCCTCATTTTTTCTCCCGCCACCTTAATAATTACAGGGGGACAAATTGTTAATACAGCGAATTGCAGACATCATGACATGCTGGTATTCATGTTGAACATGTTAGAAGCTTTAATCATGTTGGATTTGGCAGCATCAAGCAATGGATCTGCCTGGATTGCCTTGTCAAAAGAGTCCTTTGCTTCGTTCCACTTCCCTTCAGCAACATATACAAGACCTAAATTGTTTAAAGCAGGTGCATATCCAGGTTGCAGTTCAAGTGATTTATTGAACATTGCCTTTGCACATTCATACTGTTTTAGCTGCCGATAGAGATTTCCAAGGTTTGAAAATATTGTGTGTGCTTGTTTTGGTGTAGCTAGCGACAATGCTTGTTTATACACCTCTTCAGCTTGAGAAGACTCCTCGGATAGTTGCAGCGAAATACCTATAGTGCAGTTTTTTTTTCAGCAGACATGAAGGCTATTTTCACGATGATTAAATATGGAGAGGAAAAGAGGAGGAAAAAAGATGTGCATGACATTGTGTAAGAGAGATGCATTTACCAAGATTTGACCAGGCATAGGTGCAGTCCTTACGGCGTGCAACTGCAGCCTTGAGGTACATTTGAGATGTCTTAAATTGTTGGGTACACAGACTATGAAGGCCAAGCTGATGCCATTGAACAGCATCAGCAGGATCTTCGGCTATTGCCTGTCATTTGCAAAATCAGAATCTAAAATCCAAGCTTTCAGTCCAAACTTCATTTTACAAGAGTGTCGCAGAACATAATGAAAATCGAAGGTGAGGAAGTAGATGCAAGGAATTAAAGAAGCTTAAATGCAGTAAACACATGCAAGAAAGAGTTTGGCAACTGATTTCCTTTCACAGTAGAAGATAAAGTTCAAGCAATTCCAACTCAAAAACAACTTGATAAGTAACCACTTGCACCATAGAGGAAGTACATATAGATCACCTTATCACATGTTCAACTACTCCCTCCGTCCCATATTAGATAGGCACTTTCTATTTTACAAGGTGATTAAGAAATCATTAATAGAATGATTAACTTTATTATTTTGACTTTTGTTCATATCAATGCACATATAAATAAGTTAGAAAATAATACACAGAGTATAGGAATAGCTAGTATTGGGAATTGTTCACATTCCAAAGGTCATATTAATTGTAGGGGTAAACCGGGAAAAATTTAATTAATTCTATCCTGATTTAGTAAGTGATCAAATAATATGGAAAAACTATTTTTAGTAAGATGCCCATCTAATATGGGACGGAGGGAGTAAAAAATAACCATCCCCTCACGGAAATCAGAAGTTAACAAACTAAGTAATAAGTTTTAGATAAACATATAAAAACTTTAAAGCCTACCTGCTTTAGACTGTAGATAGCATGCTCCTTGACTTCCACCAATTCATTATGCTCAATTTCAAATCCTGCCACAATTTCATGTTGGGCCCTGTGGACCATGGCGAGACCAGCCCATGCTATTGGAGGCTCTATCGAAGTAGAATCTCCTTCTCTTAGTATTGAGGCCATCTCACTACCAGCCCATGAGAGCTGCTCATTGGGATTCTGGGACCTCTCTGCATCCCTGATGCGGTGAACTCCAACCGCATATCTTGTCGCTAAACAATTAGGATCAATTTTTCCTGCCTACTCATTAAAGAAAAAGAATGTAAATTACTTATACAAGGTCAACATTAATGCATCTATTCAAGAAGCCTAGGAATCAATATCCTGTAAGAACAAATAAAATAGAGGTTTAAAGCTGTTTGTAGCCTTGAAGAAGAAGTACCTTTTCCAAGCATTTAGCAGAGCTCCTATGATCACCCATCAAGTAATAAGCATTAGCTAGATTTGTCCAAATGTGAGCTGCTTTCGAGTCTGCTTTTAAAGCTGCTAGTAAACACTCCTTGGCTACATTGGCTGCAGTGACTTGATCTGCAGAAGTTCCATAAAGAGTATTTGCCCCCGCACCTGAAACTAACAGCCAATGCTTACTAGTTAGTCTCTGTTTTCTTTTTCTTTAAATTGTTATATCTATGTTTGAAAACATGCTAATGAGCACCATCAGTAAAATAATTGATAGCCTAAGTATATTTTTGCAATGCTCTGTAACCATAAATCTGATAGCCTAAGTATATAAATAATGAAACACGTAAAATCCTCTTACCTGCCACTACTGAACCATATTTATATAAGATAAGGGCAGCATAGTTGATTAATGCCGTGGGATGGTTCTGATCTTTTAGAAGTAGATCTTGGAAGCACTTTTCCGAAAGCTCTAGATTCCCACTGGAAAGACATTGTCAAAGTGATTCAATTCAGCAAAGAAAGTAGCTCAAGTGAACAATATAGGAAGACATGCCTGGTGAAATATTAATCAGTTAGTGTATCTACCAAAGGTGATTAACAGCATCAGAGCATCCCCCACCCCACCCAAAAAAGAAAAAAAAAACTATCACCAATCAAAAGAAAAAGACAAACACAGATATCAGAAAGCAGAATATGCATTTGATAAAATACCAGTGTATGAAAAATTGCAAACCTATAAAAGCACTGAAGCTTGCAGACAATGACTGCTATAAAGACAATCTAATCAATTGTAGAAGTTATATCGAACGAACCATTTGATCAACCTCTCCAGGAATCCTAAAGTTCCACTCAAATCCGTGATGGGTTAAGCTAATTCTCAAGAACGGTGACTGCTTAAAATAGGTAACTGTCTGTATCACCATTTGCAAGATCTAATTACTCTTGTTGTATAAGGTCATGGGATTTGCTTTGAAGGATGA